ACGCCTCAAATATTTCCTCTGGCGTGGGCTCTGCAACACAAAAAAGGCAAACTAGTTTTTTTGTAAAATAAGCATAGAAAAGCCAATGAGCTGTCAGGATGGCACTCATTTTTCAATCCATCATGTCGTTTTGCTAGCCACATTTTAACAGTCGACTTGGTTAGTTTTGTGGTGAAAGAAGCTTCGACTGTAAGGTCACATGTATGCTACGCACTATGACCTCTCATCACCACCTTGGGGAGTTGTCTTCTATCTATGAGTTCTGCTCTGACCTCTTGCCATCGTCGTCTAAGTAAGGCTCTGGAGGGTCAGAGAAGGGCGGTCGCCTTGCACAGCAATAGGACTGGGAAAATGGACAATCACACGGGTCTTGACACTAACAACAGGCTAAGATTTTAGATTTACGCACATTTTAATCCTCGGAGCGATAAATCGGGCGATGGAGAGGAGTGAAAGCGCTTACCATGTTGAGAGCTTGCATCCTTACGCGTGTATTCGTACACTTTGGAGGAGAGATAGAGCTTAGGTGGAGATGGTGCATGGGATTTCGTTTGGCTCGCTAGAAGTCTTTTTGCTCTTGGCAGCAACTCTAAGGCTCGATCAATGTTGTGGGGACGTGCTTGCAACATAATTCTGGCTAACCTGGGTTCTAATGCATTTAAAAACGCGTCTAAAGCCGTTTCCTGAATGAGATTTTCCTTATCGCGACGGTTAAAAATTTTTGCTGTCATGCTTTTAATATCCGCGACCAGATCTTTGCCGGAGACACTGGCGTCAAGACGCTTGGAGAAGAGGCTCCAAATTGTAAGAGTTCGACCCTCGAAGCGAAATATCTCAATCAATTTATCGAAGATGGAGTCCAAGTCAGCGTTGATGTCTAACCCACCTTCTAGTGCAACCTTAAGAGCGTCTTCAGAGAGGGCATTGATCACCTCCTTCACTGGATCCTCAACGCCAAGATACAAAAGACGACTTTTAATATAAAGTACCCAATTCACAATTTTCTGACCGAGACAATAACGTTTAATCTGTAGACGTGTGCCATCAATAGTGTCCACTGTCACAAAAGGGCTAGAATCTCCAGGCGTCTTCGATGAGCTTGTCCCCGCCATGCCACGCCGAAGGGTAAGAAATGAATGCAGACCTTCTTATTATAACACACCTCATATGAACTCAATTCTGCGTGTGAGAAAAGTAAAACCCTCAGACCCCTCAGTGTCAACGTGTGCGACTGTGGACGCTTAGGTTACCAAAGTACCTTTTCTGAGAAATAGCAAATCACTTTGTCCTTTAATTAAAACCCATGGTATCTCTCGCTTATTCTTGATTATGAGGACACGTAGGAGCCGCGCCCTGCAGTACATGCATTACATTGCAAGTAAGGCAAACATTCAATAATCGTCTGACAGTCCTTTTATGAGGTTTATTTTAGAATCCTTAATGATCACATCAGCCGCCTCAAACATCTAAAATTACACCTCTAGTTCTTCTGTAATGAATTATGCAAAATACGAAGCTTTTGCGTCCTCCAACCTCAACTTAAGGCTTTTTGGTGCACCGTGTTAGCACTAGAAGGCA